AAGCTTATTATCAGACAGTTTTTATTATAATCAGTTCTGTGTACTTTGTTTTTACTTTACATAAGGCTACAGATAACATTCTGCAAAAGTCCATAAAAAACTAATAGTGTTTGCTAAGTGTCATGTAACGGTTTACCTATTAGGTAAAGGACAACCTGAATGTACTTTCAGCATTTGCTTTGCAATGAGGCCCAAATGAAATTAAAAATTATTAGGTCCAATTCTATGCAGCAGAATAACTAAACCCAGATCTTTCAGGTTCATAAAACGTGTATCCTCACATATTGTAAGGACTAAAACAAAGAAATAGAGATACTTGAGCATTTTTAGAGTATGAAAAGCATCATGTAGTCCTACTCTCTTCTTTTTTTTCAGGAAGAACATCCCAATTTTATATATAATGATGAGTAAGAAAAAGTATAGGCGAGAGGGAAGCCAGTATATAGAAAATTATCATTATAACACCTACAAACGGAATTGTATATTGTACAGAAAAGAAGTATTAAATTAGAAAAATCAAATTTTTGCTTTCAGTATTTTTTCAGGGATTTGTTAAAAATAAGCCTAGTAAATAGGCAGTTTCTATTTTATGACAATTGTTCATTAAAATATATACAGAAAGATGGAAACTGAAAGGTACCATCAGCAGACCACTGGTCACTAGTTTTAAAGCTGTTGTTACTGTATTTTAATATGACCCAGCAGCATCATAACATATGGATGGAGTCACATATACCATCTTTCAACATAATTGTCTGACATGGGAAACAACAATAAAACTAATATATATATAAATATGTAAACATTACCTTGAACAGAGAAAAAAAGGGCAAAAAGAAGATGGGCGACTGCTGCTGCTGAAGCCATTGCTGCTCCTCTTGCCTCTCTGTCTGTTATGACAGTAACACTCCAGCAGATGAGTAAAGTGCATGAGAATAAAACAGTCACATAATAACAGGAACAGAGGCTGCTGTGCTCATGAAAAGCATAATTTGCTTTTTAACAACCGTGCAACAGCTTATAAAAGCAGCTTCCCTAACGTCCTTCCTTTTCAAAATAGTGATACACAGTTCTCTCTTTTGCATTTCAAGCAAGAATGTCTGCTGTGTGATTCAGGGCAGCAGCGCTTTTTTGCTTTTCCAAATTTAAAGGTTAGCTACAAAGAGAAGGAAGAAAGAAACAACATCAAAAACTTACTGTGGTCAAGTCTGAGTTAACTGACAAACTCATCAGCCACACATTCCTTGTTGTAATAGACTGTGACCTCTAAATAAAAACAGCTTTTAAGTTAAACTTTATTCACTGGCTTGCTTTTACTCAAACGTTTAAAATGTCATATCCCAAACAGGGTTCAGTAACCTTTAAGTGGCACTGCAGAATTCACTGCAGATATTGTTTCTGTCTTTATTTTTTGTTTTTAATATTGACCATAAAAGGTTTTAGATGGGAGAATTTTTTTTAATTCAAAATAAATTATTGATTTAAAAAAAATAAATACATATTTTTTTTATTTTTTTTTTTAATAAAAACAATTTAAGGCCCTTTAAGGCCAGAGGCCTGGGAGCTTGAGGGTCGTGTGCATTATCTTAGCTGTTCCTAGGACTGCACTCTTCTGCACAGAAATCTCCAATGTTGTTCCTGGGATTTGCTGGAGCCACTCGCCTAGCTTGGGAGTCGCCGCACCTGGTGCTCCGATTATCACTGGGACCACCGTTACCTTCACCCTCCACATCTTCTTGATATTTCTCTGAGCTCTTGGTATTTCTCCAGCTTCTCATGTTCCTTCTTCCTCATGTTCCTGTCATTTGGTATTGCTACATCTATCAGTATGGCCGTCTTCTCCTGCTTGACCACCACCACCACTGTGTCCAGTTGGTTAGCCACCACCATTTATCTCTGGAAGTCCCACATGATCGTTCAGTCATTCTCCACCACCCTAGAAGGGCTGCAGGGAGCTGGATTGTCTCAGGGGCATCTTTACACAGTCTGCACCTGGGGTCTTGAGTATTGTGATAGACCCCAGCCTCTATAGATCTTGGGCTCAGAGCTTGTTCCTGTGCTGCCAGGATTAGTGCCTCTGTGCTGTCTTTAAGTCCAGCTTTGTCCAGCCACCGGTAGGACATCTGGATGTCAGCCACCTCCACTAGTGGTACATACCGTGTAGGGGCCTGTCCTTCCATGATGGTTCCTCCTCTGCCTTGGGTTTCTGTTGCCTGAAGTATTCACTGAGCACGTGGTTGGTTGGGGCCATCTTCCTGATGTATTCATGGATGTTCATTGCCTCATCCTGGACTGTTTTTAGTGACACTCAATAGTGTCAGTAAAAATTCTTCCTTCTCCTTAGCATGCAGTCTCAGGATGCTGGACTTAGGTTAGGAGCTTCCTTTTTTTTTTTTCATTTCATTTCATTTCATTAAAACTCTTTTGATCCCGAAGGCTGTTAAGGCTGCTGGCATTCCAGAGCCATCTTACCATTACAACCACAAATATATTACACAAACATAACAGGCAGAACAATGGACATACATAATATGATGAAAGAAGAGCAGAAAAAAGAACTCCCCCCAGACTGAGCTCCTAAAGGGAGATCAGTTTGAGAACAAAAAAAAAAAAAAAAACCCACCTCATCACATACACATGATTATCACATTTCATAACATAAAAAGACATAAGCACGTTGGAGGTGTTTGGAAGGGGGAGGGGTGGGATGACTGTATATTGGTGTGTGTGTGCATATGTGTGTCCATATGTGTGTATCCTGTATCCAACTCGTGAGACAGTCTCCTTTTGCCCAGTTAAGCAAAAGTCAGCAATCCCTAAGCCAACACCGGTGGCCTTGTGGAAGTAGAAGATATAGGGCAGAGAGTCTACACAGTCTTGTAGTCTGGGAGAGTATTTGTCCCAGTTTTAGCCTTCGAGCTTCTGGCTGGTGAAGGAAGGCCAAATGAACATAGTGACTGATTGATTTATCGATAGAGAGAGTGTCTGTCACTGGTCCCAATTCTAGAACTGTGAGCTTCTCCATGATTGAGTCCATATTGCATTCAACAATCACAGTCTGATTGCTCGTGGCTCTACCCACCGTCAATCATGCCGGGCAGCCTTGTGGGATTTTGAGCAGCTGTAACCGCTTTGTCGATAAGCCAGGGCTGTGCCAGTTCCAATCAGCAGGAACGCTGTTATCAAGGTTCTGAAAAATTTTCTTCAATGTCCTCCATTGAGAGCGTTACTAGGCACGTGAGATGCCACTTGTTCCAGCGAAAGATGGTCGTGTATCTGGCAGCCAACGTTCCTGCAGGACGATCAGGCTCCTCCACACCCAGATTTCTCAGGTGTCAAGAAGCGTTTAGAGACCAGTTGATCAAATCCATAATTCCTTGATTTTTAAAGAACAAGGCAAAGAGAGTCTATGACAGTTAGACGAAACTAGACAAAGACAATACAAGCCAAGCAGGAAGATAAGGGAGGGAGAGGAGACAGGAGAAAATGCAACCATCTCTGCCGTAAGCCAAGAGAAGTGTGTCAGTCTTGATGCCAGTTGCTCTATCGCTGCCTTTGGCCAGGTTATTATACCAGCAGGGTACCTGATCACGGGAAGGGTGTAGGTGTTAACAGCCCAGAATTTTCTTGCCGTTCAGCTGACTCCTCATGACTTGCCTGACGATCTGTAGATACTTGGTAGTTGCAGCTTTCCTAGCGGCCTCTTCATGGTTCAACGATACTCGTATCGATATTGAACCGTTCGATACAGTGCTTTTGGTTCGGTACGCATATGTATTGAACAAAACAAAATCTTTAATTTATTTTATCAACTTTTCTTCTGACAATGCTGTCTGTGTTGAGAGCTCAGTGGATCTGCGTTCGACTGCTCTGCCTAGGCTGCACTGTCGAGCGCAGATCCACTGAGCGCAGCACAAACTAGCAAGACAGAAGCTAAGCTCGTTGCAACATGGCAAATTGAACCTCCCCCACCCTCATTCAGATCTGGCCTTTGAAACTATTTTGGTTTTCATGTGACGTATGACCCTGAAGGTAAGCGCGTCATGGACAAAATGAAAAACAGTATGTTGGATGTGCCACGCAATGCTCAATTACATGGATGGGAACTACTGCGTTAGCACAGTTTGCTCGTTAACGTGTTGGCCGTCCAGCCCCACGCATGGAGCTCGTTAACGGAGATTTGCCGTGTTGTGGCGTTAACGTCATTTTAACAAGATTAACGCTGACAGCACTAGTGGGAACACAACAAATATGACTGCAAATTTACGTCGACATCATCCTAGTGCAAAGACAAGTGGAAGCAGACAAAAACAACAAGCACGCATGCTACAAACTTTACCCGAGTCATTTAGACAGCCGTTAGCACATGATTCTCCTTATGGGGACCTGATATGTTTAATATGCTGCTGAGAATATAGCCCAGAAGAAGCGTATAGTATAGCTTTTATTTTGGAAAGAGACATTTCTCTGTAATAAACTCTCTTTTCCAAAGATGAGTGATTTCTCGATCAGATAGATTTATTTTTTTATTACTTTGTTGTTTCAGCAATATTAAATTTAAAAACTGTACTTTTGAGTTAAAATATATATTTATAATTTTAATAAATGACAAATTAAAAGAGCATGAACATTTTTTTGTATCAAAAAAATACCAAACTGTGACACCAAATTATCGAACCGAACCGTGAATTTTGTGTATCGTTGCACCCCTAATATATATCTATATATCTATATATCGATATATATATATGCTCTGATATGATTTCATTCTAAATTTGCTCACTAGTGTTTGAGCCTGACGTGCTCTCCGTGAGGTTTAATTATTGTCACATTTGTGTTAAAATATTGTGTGTAAGCTGATATATTTTTCTCAACTGTGCAGGACAGTTGAGTTTGGCTTTTTATTCTTGTCTGCGGTCTATTAGTTGCAAGACTGACACACTTTGTAGAGTTATATTGGAATGTGAGAAAGGGAATGGAATGTCAATGAGGAGAGATGGTTAGGATGAACTGAACACTATTTATTCATGAACTGAATTCCTTCAAGCAATCTGGTGACTGGACTCTGATGGCCGGTCAAGGCTGAACAGATTCCCAGCGGTGACAGGAATTAGGCAGGACCCTCCAGAGTCTAGAGGCTGGTGGTGGTGATGAAGATGCAGGCTTGACTGGAGCTCTGAGTAACATGGGAGAGGCAGAGATGGGGCGGAGGTGGGTTGCACGAAGGAGTCTACAAGGGAGAATGACAGATTAGCAGTGAGATTTTAAGAAACGTGGAGTGGATGGTAATTGGCTTGAAGAAAGCAACCAGAGAGATACTTTGACTAGACCTGTGATGTCAGCAATGAGCTTGACAGTGTGGGAAAGTGGAAGGAATGAAAAATGGAAACTAACAACCAAGCACTCTGGAAGCGGACAGATATGTGTTTACAGATGTCATCTAAGCTTATTTTACCATAAGTTCTATTTTACGTCTTAGAACTTAAAAGCTATTCCACACAAGGTTTTCCAGAAAGCTTCCGGAAACTTTTTACAGAAAGTGAAGCAGCAGCATTTACTTTAAAGCAAGTAATATTTCCTGTCACCTGTTCACTGGTATCCAGTTCCTCTCTAGGCTCAGGCTGCTGCTGCTTTGAGGATCTGTTTTTTCTAGTTGGGATAATGATTAAGTGTTAAAGAAATTACAAACTTAGCGAAATGACAATACAATAAATGGCACATAAGTTCCACTCACATGATCCATAGGATGACCGAGTATAAGAGTATAAGACCCAGAAGAATAGCAGGGACTATGACAGCTGTTAATTTCCATGCTCCTAAAAAAGTGATCAAGTGAATTAGGGTGGCACTTTTAAATACTAATAACTAAGCCTGAACTAAAATGAACCATAACCAAACTCAACCAAATGAATAGAATACACAACTACAGGATCAGATATGAGACAAATCAGATTTAACTTACTTGATACAACAGTCAGCTGTAAGGTGGAGTAATGATGCCCTCTGGTGTTCTGTGCAACACAGTAATAACTCCCGCTGTGTTCAGGTCTGAAGTCAGTGATGGTAAAGTTCTGTCCAGAAGTTTTAGGTGACTCTTCATCTTCCTTGTACCAGGTGTAATTAGCTGCTGGGTTAGCATCACTGCTACAGGTCAGAGTGACTGAACTGCCTTCCACTATCTCAGCAGAGGGACTCACTGACACAGAGGGAAGCTTTGGAGCATCTGGAGGAGAACACAGAGCGGACCTGTACTTTTAACAATACAGTTTCAACCCACTTTTTCTACACACAATGCATGACAATAATATTGGGAGCTGATTGTGATTGTTAAGTAAACAGGAAAGCTGATGTTGTTCAGGTCATTAGTTCTGTTTCGCTTTGTCTTTCTAATTTTTTTGTAAGCTGTACAAAGTTGCCTCTTGCTTCAGTAACTGCTGTTATGCTGTTTACTCATATATTAAAATATATTATTTTAAAATATGAATATTAAAATATTAAAATATTAAAATTACGAGAAAGTGTTACACTCCGTCCTTTGCACTAAGTGGTCACAAAAGCTTTATTTTATTAAGAATTTCTTCCCTGGAAGGCTGTATTTTGCTACCTGTTTGTCTACCTGTCTTGATTTATCAGTATGTAAATCACCAATTCCATCTGACTTTTTCATATTATAAAATAACTAAAATTACATTAAAATAGAATCACTTTTAAAATGAATTCAGTAATTTGACATCATTTTATTGCTTACTCCCGTGATATGTTGCTCACACAGAAACTCCCTTTTGATCATGTAGTGGAGTAAGCAACAAAGCTGATGGAAGACCAAGTAAAGCAAATGTTAACATAATTTAAAGCACCAAGTGAAAGTTTTCTACCCTGCTTTCTAAATCTGGGACTCTCCAACATTTTGACCTTAGAACTGAAGAAGCCTCTTGGATGAGGGGTGAAACGTCTTCAAGCAACTTAAAGAAGTCCAGATGCTTTTCTTTCCAAGCTCCTTAGACTACGATGACCTGGATGACTGAGAACCTTCACAGAAATAAGCCTGTTTCACTCACATGTCACATTAATGGAGATGTTGTATGTTGGCGATGAGACCCCCAGCTTGTTCTCAGCTGTACAGTAATATTCCCCAGAGTCAGAGGACTGGATGGAGCTGAAGATGAGCTGTGGTTCTTTAATGAGAGGGGTTTGATTGTTCGTCTTATACCAGGTGTATTTAGCTGCTGGGTTAGCATCACTGCTACAAGTCAGAGTTACTGAATTGCCCTCCAGTATCTCACCAGAGGGACTCACTGACATAGAGAGAGGCCTTGGAGCATCTGGTAGAGAAAGAACATAGATTATATGCATGTTATTAGTTTCTGCAAAGGTTTATTATTGATCAAATCAAACAAATCTGTGAACCTAATGGTTACACTAGTGTACACTAGTGTTTTTCAAGCTGTTTTATGTGTAAACAGAGAGCTAATATGATAATTTAGTTTAAAGTTGCTTAATATTTAAGGTTGTGGCTTGTGTCTATAAAAAAAATGAATGGGGTCTGCCTTGATATAATACAATAATACAAATCTCTGTATGAGACTTGTACACAGCTATCAAGCAAACCATTGATTGGGTAATGTCATCTATCATCTGCCATTCTTAAGCGCTTATCTAACCACTGGAGATGGTCCCAATTCAAACTGGGTAAGAGAACATCATCATCAGAGAGGGAGTACAGCTGTACAGCCCTCACATGCACCCATACCTTCAATTTAGAATTGCCTGTTAACGCAACAAGTGTGTCATTGTACTCTGGGAAAACATGTAAACTCTGCAGGAAGGTCCAAGCTGGGCAAAGGTGCGAACCCAGAACCTCCCTGCAGTGTCTAACAGAACAGAACATAAACTATCTTAGTCACTGAACTGCTACCTCGCCACAACACAGAATCATCCCAGACAAATGTATGATCATAAATTGAAGTCAGTGATGATAATGATATTAAAATGTTATTAAAATGTTATATTAAAATAAATTTACTTTATTTAGGTCAGCTGCTGAACTGTAATTATAAAGCAGTTTGAGCTGCAAACTGATAATATTGGCAAATTCATAATGAGATAAAATATTGACAATAACTAGCTGAATGTTGCTTTTAAACACTGTCTGACTTACATGCCACATGGATAGAGATGTATTTAGGCGTGGAAGTATTCACTTTGTTTACAGCTTGGCAGTAATATTCTCCAGAATCAGTGGGCTGTATGGAGATAAAGGAGAGCTGTGGTTCTACAACGAGAGGTGTTTGGCTATTCTCCTTGTACCAGGTGTAGTTAGCTGCTGGGTTAGCATCACTGCTACAGGTCAGATTCACTGAATTGCCCTCCTGGATTTCACCAGAGGGACTGAACAACACAGAGAGAGACTTTGGAGCATCTGAGGGAGAAAAAAAGAGAGGTTAGTATTAGTTCCTGCAAAGACTGAGTTATTCACTAAATCAACTCCATGACTGCTCAACAAGCTGCTCAGTGAGGAGATTTGGATGGTTATGCATAAAGGTGAGTGAAGAACTTACATATCACAACAATAAAGATGGATTCAGATGTCGTCCTCCCCAGGTGGTTCTCAGCTGCACAGACATACTCTCCAGAGTCAAAGGACTGGATGGAGGTGATGGAGAGCTGCCGTTCATTAATGAGAGGTGTCTGATCACCATCCTTGTACCAGAAGTGGTTAGCTGTTGGTTTAGCATCACTGCTACAAGTGAGAGTTACTGAGCTCCCCTCACTGATTTCATTAGAAGGACTCACTGATACTGAGACAAACTTTGGGGGATCTGAGAGAAAGAAAATGATTCAATTTGTTAGTATTTCAGGGAAATAATGAGGAAGTAATGCTCTCAGTGAGAGAGATTTCTGGACCATCTGATGTATAAATTAGTTTCACTCACATTTCACATGAATGGAGATGGTGTCAGATGTCGCCCCCACGCTGTTGTAAGCTCTGCAGCGATACTGTCCAGACTCTGATCGCTGGATTGAGGTGAAGACAAGCTGTGTGTCTACACTTTGAGGTTTATTGTTATTCCCCTTATACCAGGTGTATTTAGCTGCTGGGTTAGCATCACTGCTACAAGTCAGAGTTACTGAATTGCCCTCCACTATCTCACCAGAGGGAGTCACTGACACATTAACAGGTTTTGGAGCATCTGAAGGAGAAGATATGAGGATGAATCAACTTCACGGTGTTTGAATCTAAATCTGTTCCTCATGCAAAAACTTTCAGGTCAACAAATGTGATTTCTGTGATGCAGATATTTCAAATATGATGGCAATTAAAGGGAAATCTTATAACACGCAAAGATACATTTGTGTTGTATTGAATGCAGTATGTTGCATAACTATGACTAAAAGCTCTGTAGTTTGTTTTGTGTATGCTCAGTTTGGCAGTGAAAACATTGCTGCCTCTATGTGTTTTGCGTAGATCACTAATGACAGATCATGCCAGAAACAGAAACAAGAAAACCGATGTGAGCAAAAAGCAAAATGAGCTGGTTCCTTTTTTTTTAATTCTTATGGTAAATGTTTTGTTGCTTTCATAAAGCATAGAGACATTTGACCAGAAACCCTTCAGTAACTGAATCATTCAGATGAAATATTAATGGGTTGTACAGTAGGTTTACACAGCAATCGCCTTTCAATGAATTGAATGTTTAATATTTGATGATAGAAAAACAACTCAGGAGAGATGGAATAAAGTAAACGGGTTCAAGCAAACTGTTATTAAAGTTGATTTACTCACATTTCACGTTAATAAAGATGGACTGAGATGCACTCCTCCCCAGCTCATTCTCAGCTGTGCAGTAATATTCTCCAGAGTCAGAGGGCTGGATAGATGAAAAGTCAAGGACCGTTCCTTCACTGATACGTGTTTGGATGTTTCCCTTGTACCAGCTGTAATTAGCTGCTGGGTTAGCATTAAAGCCACAGTTTAGAGACACTGAAGTTCCTTCCTCTGCTTCAGCAGAAGGATTCACTAACACATAGTAAAGCTTTGGAGAAACTGGAGGATAAGAGAAAGTTTAAAAAGATGGCTTTAAACATAAGGTGGTCTTTTTTTATTTTAAATCTTGACATGTTTTGTATGATTTTAGGATTTTTATAGTGACACTGTGGAGTAAACTCACACACTGCAGCAGAGCGATAACCCTCATGTCCTTTAACAGCACAGGAATAGCTGCTGTCATCACCTCCAACAGAGACTCGCAGAGATGTTTCTTCCTCTATTTTCTGTCCATTTTTGTACCAAACATATGATGGAGGATCAATTACATCACAGCTGCTGTGACACTGCAGCTCTGTGTGGCTTAACAATCTTCTCACCTTCACCTGTAAATCTGGATTTGTAAGGAAGAAACAAATAATCCTCATTTTAAACTAAACCACCAAACAAAACAGTAGAATTTTCAATGAAAATCTTACCTGTGACAGTCAAAGTGACTCCAGGTGAACCAGTATAACTTCCATCAGGCTGATTTGTTACGAATCTGAACTTGTACTCATCAGAGTCTCTCTCTCTCAGGTCTGTGATCCTCAGAGTGCAGTCGTTCTCATGAAAGCGGTACTCCGCTCGGCGCGAGTACGGCGCGTATGTTTTCAGATCCAACGGTTCATCCTTGTTTTTTATAGACCAAAGTCTTTTTTGAACTGCAGTATTCATATTGTGTCTTGTAGAAGGGTAACTGTAGCTGCAGCCTATGTCCACTGTTGATTTTTTCAAGGCGCAGATGTGAGTGGAAGTGTAAGTCACTGACCAACCATTCTGACCCAGTACCGCTGTAACACAGAGCACATCAGACACTACAGACACAATCACAGTGACATTAATAATGGAAACGTTTGTACGAAGTGTCTTTAAAATGAAATGCAAGTCATTGAGACAAAGCTTTCTCTATATGAAATTTAATATTTTATTATGCACTTTGACTGCCATGTTATTATTTATGTTCAACACTTTAATAATTAAGTTTTATATTGATGTACACACAACTGTGTGCTTTTCTGTAGTTTTGTATATATTTATAATTGTTTGTTATTTCTCCCTGCTGTCTTACTATTTATATTTTATTCATGCACAGTTGCCATGACAATAAAGGACTATTCTATTTTATTCTGTTCTATTCTAACAAAGAAAAGGTGTTGACTAAGAAAGGCATCTGTAATTTTAACCTAAATTCAGATTTAATGTGCATCTTAATTATTGTTAGTGTGTTAAAATGCTCGTGTTTCAAACAGTTTACTGTGCAATGAGACTGATGATAAGTTTCATAGTAAACTTTATAAAATGCAGAACAGAAGTGCTGCTGCGTTTGCAGATCTCTGAGAGCTGCTTTACTAGAAACCAAAAGGAGAATAGAAATTGAAGAAATTGAAGTGAAGATGTTTGGTTCCTGTTTTGTTTTAGTATAGAGACACCGTAACTAAATACTTCAAATATACTACTATCAGACCCACTTAGAGTTATTTCAAACAGCAATGCAGTTTTTATGCAGTCATACACAACAGAGACATGTCGAGATAAAAACATCCTGAGATGCTGATGGTGGGAACATTTTAATAATCTGTGGAAATGTCATGATAAACACACTATAACTTTTAATATCATATTATAACTTTAAAACAAATGTCACTCTTTTAGCTTCCTTCATTGTAAAAGTTAGTTATTCAGTACCCGATGCAGTGAGAAGCAGTACAAATACAAATTCAATCCTTGCTGCTGCAGTTGCACTCATGGCTGCTCCTCTCTTCTGTCTGCGTGACAGAAAATTGTATCAGCAAAGAGTTTAAATATTGTATTTTCCAGTCTGCAAAAACACAATAAAAATAAAGATATAAAATAGTAACTTCTACTTACCATAGAAAAAGATGTTGTCTTTAAAAATCATGTCCCTGTTGGGAAGCACAAGACCGAAAAGTAAAACTGTCACACTTCCTTCTTTTTCATGTGATTTTTTCAGCATGAAGCATGAATAAGGATGAAGCCATTACATCTGGGACTGAATGCTGTTGTTTTCAAAACCACATACAGCCCTCTAAATGTGTTATATTAAAGCCTGAGGAACTAATTTTGTGGTGTTTTAATACCAAAAGTAGCACAAGAAGTATGGGGGTGTGCTCATGCATCTAATGGCTAGCTTAATCACATGTGCTCCACCCCCTTGTGTCATAGGTCGAATGTAATCATTGAGACACGGCTCCGGTCCCTCTGTTCCCCCACCTTTTTCCAACAGTGTCAGCACCATTTTTCATTTTTTGATTCGCATCATACTGTTTATGAAGAAGAAAGATAACTGTGGAGGAGCACTAAAGGTGTAGGTGCTAAAGCTGATAAATCCATCCATTTTCCTCTAGTTATCTGAGGTCGGCATGTGGGGTCAGCAGCCTCAGCAGAGAAACCCAGGCCTCCTTCTCCCCAGACACCTCCTCCAGCTTATCAGCCGGAGGCCACCACCTGATGAAGCCAGCAGTAACACATATCTACACAAAGCAGAGATGAGATTCTGAGGTTCCACCACTTTCTACACCTGTAAACTCTGCTCATAAAAATGATGAACAAAGGGCCACAATGGCACTACTAACCAAAGGTGTTTTTGTTATTAATTGGGGGAAATGGCAAGATAAAAATATGGTCACAGCAGCAGTTCATCAATGGAGTTGCTGGTACCTGGCTTTTTAAAATTTCTGATGCTATTATTTTAATAAAAGTTTGCAGTCACCTAGGATTTGTTCAAATTTTACTTTTTTTAAATTTTGATATAAATTATTCAATTATTAGAGGTGTGCAAACACTCTAAAGAGAGGAAAGAAGAAGACTGAGAAACAACAAAATAACAGTAAACACAAAGGCAAGCAAAGAGCCACAGAAATGCATGAGAAGGGAAAGTGAGGATGAATGAGGGATGGTCACTGTGTCAGATTAGAGCAACAACAGCATGACCCCTGAAATGCACCAGGTCTGTGGTGTATTCTCATGTCCGAGATATTGCAACCCCCGCACTATTTTTTCAGTTAAAGAAGACCAGAAGTGTTTCATAGTCAAGGTGTATAATCTGCACCGGGTCCTTTATTTTGAAAATCAGCTGGTCTGACTGGGCCCTCCAGTCACATTTGGTACAATTAAGGATGAACTATAACTAAATTATGACTTACTTATCAGCCTTTCTCTTGACTTAACTATTAAATTTGAACTGGTTTGCTAGAGGAGCCCATGTTTACATACAATATTGGAATAATGTGGTGCTATGAGGTCTTTTAAAAAGATATGGGGTCTGATCATTCAGGATATAGAATTTATAGAATCACAATTTTGAATCCAAGAAAGAAAGAAATACAGGAAGCCAAAGATGAGATGCTAATATAGGTGGTCTAGTAACTGTAGTACTCTAGTTTGAAATGTTTTGGATCAGCTTAATGTTTTCAGAAGAGCTGATAACAAGCAAGCCTAGAATTTTATCCAAAAATTAACATGGATTTCAATAGTGTCACTGAGACAGGATGTTCTGAACTTCTGAACGTATGGTGCAGGGGAAAGAAGCATCTCCTATTATATTTCTAATTCAAAGCATCAAATCCTCATCCTTTATTTTGTTTTTGTTAATCTATTAATACTTTACTTGTATGTGTCTGTTCTTGTATTTTTATGGAGATGAAATAATTTTAAATCAACTGTATTATAAATAATAGGATGTGTTTTAAAATGATTATCAGGTGCTGTGTGCGGTATGGTGAATGAATGCAGGATGTGGTAGATGAAGGTTGAACATACTTTAACCCTCAGTGTTTATTCCAAGAAAAGAACAAGTACAGGTAGTCCAGAAACAGGCAACAAGAAATCCACAAGGCACGAGGAAGCACAGGGGAAAAATTTGGAACAGCAGAGCTAGTGGGACAACTCAACAGAGGGTGAAGGGAAACAAAATCAATAAATACACAATGTAATGCAGGAAGAGTAAACATGAGGGGAACAAAGCTGAACATAATACCATAAAAACAGACATGGAGAGTAAACTGAAAACTAAACACACAGGTCACCAAAACTGAACAACAAATAACCAAACAAAGGGAACACAGCTGATGCAGACTTGATGCAAAAGGGCATAACATAATCTGAGTATGTTCCATGACTAACCTTGAGCTGCAGTGACTGTATTTTAAAGTCTGTGCACACCTGGTGAACTGCAGCGTGGCAGACTCATCTAACCCACAAATGATCATTATTAAAATACTTTCCATCCTCCCAAGCTGTGGTGGGACATGTGGAACATTGACTTTGTCACTGATATTGTTATTTTTTCAAGAAAGTGGCACATGCACTGAATAGTCAAACTACTCCAACAATGACTCACATGAATGAGATATTTGTTGTGTTTCAGCTGGATTGCACAGCATTTGGAAGACCTGCATGTGAGAACATTTTCAATAACATAACAACATTACCATTAACTCACTGGAATAAGGCTATTATTTAATGCGTAATTTATAACATTTATTTCAGTTCTGTTTATCTGTTTATATTTCCCATTTTATTTCTTGACCTCAGTCCTTTTGTCCCTCCCATCCAAGACATGAGGAGGTCACTGTATTCTGCTCACTTATATGCTTTTACCCACAGTCACACACTGACAATATGATAACACAGAGATGATTGGATAATCAAGTATTACTCGGATATAAGTCCTCTAAATTTGTGTTTATTTGTTTTCCTTTAATGACAGTAAAACATGACAGTGGCAGTCAGAGGAAGCTGGTTAGGTTTTACATGTACATTTACACTAAAGTTCAGCAAAATGACAGATGAATCCCTTTACTGTGGTTTTACATGACAAAGAAAAAAAAGGTGATATTCGCTAATTCTAAACTAACAACATTTTGCTTCAATGTAATCACAGAAGGAACTCCGTAAAGGTCTTCCTTATATGAATATCTGCAGTTCAGAATACAAAACATAAAGAAGGGTGACTCGATTCAGTTTTATGTTTGATTAATTGGTTTCTTTGTATTAATTTGAATTATGATGTCAGTAATGTATTTGCAGAGCACAAAGAGAGCTTTAAACACAACCTATGGGTTAAAGGAAATGTAAATACAAAAACACCTAAAACAATAATTTGTTTTCCAATTATTAGATAATTGCAATAATCCAGAGAAATGGAATGAAAAAGCAAAAATGAATAGGTTATATCTGATCAATATTCCAGGAGAAGTAATGATTCTTATCAATTGTGGACAGACGAATGGACAAGATGAACTAATAAGAATGAAATATATAACAATATATTTTTAATGTGCAATTGAGCAGAAAAGCAGTTCAGATAATGTGTTAGCACAAATAAAAATAACAGATACAATGATAATTGTATATATAATAAGAATGTGGTGAGATTCGAGTGTATGTAATAAGTTTCTGTATATATTTTGACACCTCACGTGTTAATTAAGTAAACATGAAGCATTTTTCTCTCAACCTGATTCTCTCATGTTTCACATCAATAGAAACGTGTTTAGGTGTTGACGGCACAAATTTGTTCTCAGCTACACAGTCATGCTCTCCAGAATCAGCAGACCGGGTTAGCATCACTGCCACAGGTCAGAGTCACTGAAATGTTCTCCTGGGTTTACCAGACAGATTTACTCACGCTGAGGGAGACTTTGGAGCATCTGGGGGGAAACACAGGAAGGTAATTGTAGTTTTTGAACAAAATCAAACATCTTTGTAAGTGTAAATGACAGGATGGATGTTGTTAGTCTACTCTAGGACTCAAAGTACTTTACACAGCATGACTCTTTCACACATTCACACAAACACTTTTTTCTATGCACATATTCACACCCTGATGGATGCATCAGGGAGCAAATTGGCATTGGTATCTTGCCCAAGGATATTTGCCATGCAGACTGGAGCAGCAAGGGATTGAATCACCAACCTGAGCTACAGCCACTCCAGCAGGATTTAGCAGGAATACTGATGTCCACAGAGACATTATGACTGACCAGTCTGATCAAATTATAGTTTCTTAGTGAACATGAATGCCAGTTCAAACTTTCCACTTTACTTGCCTCTTTTCTGTAGCAGTAAAAGAAAAGTTTGCACATCATCTTGAAACCATGGACAGATATGTTGGAGAGTTGGTTCAATAATTTCTTATTGGAAAAAACAGTAAGCTTTACTGCATTTTTGGGTGGTTTGAGCCTACCCCAGCTATGATGACATGTCAAAGAATAACAATAATGGATTGCATTTATATAGCACTTTTAGGTGGGTGAAGTGTCTTGCCCAAGGACACAACGACCGAGACTGTCCGGGCCGGGGCTCAAACTGCCAATCTTCCGATTACAAGACAAACTGCCAACTCTTGAGCCACGATCGCTCCATGGTGGCGCGATCATGCCAGAATCCCAAAGAATTCCTCACTAGTCGCTCACAGGACAAATGCAGACTCACATTTTAAACACAATTAGTCAGAAGTCTTTGCAAATGATGGGGAATTGACAAAATGTATCAACTAGAGGTATACGTTTGTTGAACTACTGTGAGCAAAACCTTATTGAAAATTGATACAGATGATCAAAAATCAAATGAAAGTCTCTAAAGAGAGATAAAATCGGTCAGTGAGAAGAAAAATTGTTGAATCTGAGAAAAATGAAATTATTTCCACTCACATTTCACATCGATAGAAGTATATTCAGATGTCTTCCTTCCCAATGTATTTCCAGCTATACAGTAATACTGTCCAGAGTCAGAGGGCTCAATGGATCTGAAGGCAAGCTCGGGTTCTTTACTAAGAGGTGTTCTTCCATTTGTCTTGTACCAGACATACGTAGCTGCTGGGTTAGCATCACTGCTGCAGGTCAAAGTCACTGATCCGCCCTCCTTGATTTCACCAGAGGGACGCACTGACACAGAGGGAGGCTTTGGAGCATCTGGAGGAGGAAACAAAGGGAAATAAATACATGGAATTATTTCCTTCAAAGGCTGAAAAATTGACCAAATCAAAAACCTCAATGAATCTAATGCAGGGGCTTCTCAGTGAGTAGATGGCTTTAGTAGAGAGATGTTCTCAGCCACATTATCACTTTATGATCAGATCTAGACAAACGACACTATTTAAACAACCCCATTTCCTAAAAGAAACTGGCCAGATGTTTACCAATCTGCAAAACGTCTAACCTCTAATGTCTGCAAAGTGTCTAAAAACTGTGAAAACATTTCAGAAAAATATTTTTTCATATAAAATTGTCAAGACTTTGAAGACATCATCGTGTACAGTACATCAAATCATCAAAAGATTCTGAGAATTTTGAGAAATCCTCCGCTTAAGGGATGAGGCCAAAAATCCATATTAGATGCCTGTGAGCTTTGGTCCCCCAGACATTCAGGTAACATTCTGCCATTTAGATCACTGCATGGGCTCAGGAACACAGTTCACTGCACCATTCGCAAGTGCAGATTAAAGCTCAATGATGTAATGAAGAAGCCATATATATACAGGTGTATACAGGCATATAATAATAATAATAATAATAATAATAATAATAATAATAATAATAATAATAATAATAATAATAATAATAATGATAAATTTTATTTATGAGCGCTTTTCAAGTCACCCAAGGACACTTTACAATAGGATAAAACACTTAGTAAAACAATGGCAGAATAAGAACAATAAAATAAAAGCACAAGATAAAATTAACAAACAGTGGATTCACAGTGAATATGCAGATTTGAACAGATGAGTTTAGAGTTGGTATTTAAACTGGGGGAGAGAACCAATGTTTCTTATTTCTGGGGGCAGAGAGTTCCACAGCCTGGGAGCAGAGCAGCTGAAAGCTCTGTTTCCCATGGTGGTGAGGCGGAAGGAAGGTACAGTAAGCGGGATAGAAGAAGAAGAACGAAGTGAACGGGCAGAACAAGTGGTGGTTAACAGGTCAGAAAGGTAAGAAGGAGCGAGGTTATGAATGGCCTTGAAGGTGAGCAGAAGAAGTTTGAAAATTATCCGGAATTTCACAGGGAGCCAGTGAAGTTCCTGAAGAACAGGGGTGATGTGCTGGTAGGAGGGGGTTCTGGTGATAATGCGAGCAGCAGAGTTCTGAACTAGTTGAAGCTTATGGAGGGATTTTTGGGGGTGTTAGGGAGTTTTTATTGTTTTATTTGCTTATGCTTCAAAAGTTATGTTATACATATTTCACCAGACACAGTTTTCTGTAGAAACAGGAAGCTGACCCTGTGACACTGACATTTACCGAGACCAGTACAGAAATACATATCCGCAGAAGTTGACTTGCATTATATTATTCTTAGAAATTGACTTGCAACACACATACTTTGTGACACACACACACACATACACACACAGCTTACACACAGACAGCATCAGGACCTGCGTAACAGGAAATGTGATTATATTTGCATATTGACGATGTAACCTATAAAAATAAACGAATACTGCAGTTCGGTGTGATTGCTCTCTGAGTAGTTCACCCGTGCAGCACGTTAATTATCTCGAGTGTCTCAGTGTTGCTTATTCACCTGACTGTTTGTTAACTGTAAATCTCTGACAGGGGGAGACCATGCAAAAGAGAATTGCAGTAGTCAGTACGGGAGGTAACAAGACAAGAATGGACATAGACTGGGTGGAAAGAGAAGGAAGCAATCTGTTAATGTTACGTAGATGGAAGTAGGCAGAATGGGTGAGATTATTGATGTGAGATTTATAGGAAAGTGAACTGTCTAGGATGACACCAAGGCTCTTAACCTGAGGAGAAGGGAAAACTGTGGAGTTATCGATGGTGAGTGAGAAATGGTTTGCCTTCAAAAGGTTCGATTTGGTGCCAATAAGGAGGATCTTAGTTTTATCCTAATTGAGCTTTAGAAAATTAGAGGTAAACCAGGATTTTAACTTGGATAGACATTCTGTAAGGGAAGAAGGTGGGAGGGAGGAATCAGGTTTGCAAGAGATATATATCTGGGTGTCATCAGCAAAACAGTGAAACTGAAGATCAAATTTGCGGAAGATGGTACCTAAAGAGAAGAGGGCCTAAAACTGAGCCTTGGGGTACACCAGAGGTGACGGGGAATAGACGAGAGCGGAATGATCTTAGTTGAATAAACTGGGAATGGTCGAGGAGATATGATTGAAACCAGGCGAGGGGTGTGTCAGAGATCCCGAGAGAGGAAAGTCTGCTTAGAAGGACAGAGTGAGAAATGGTGTCAAAGGCTGAGCTCAGATCTAAAAGGACGAGAATGGTGAGAAGACCAGAGTCAGCTCTGATTAGAAGATCGTTAGTGACTTTAAGTAGAGCAGTTTCGGTACTGTGACATGAGCGAAAACCAGATTGAAATCTCTCGTAGATGTTATTATTAACCAGGTGTAAATGAAGTTGAGCTGCAACCACTTTTTCGAGTATCTTAGAAATGAAGAGTAGATTGGAAATCGGACGGAGGTTGTTAAAGTTGTTAGGATCTAAGGAAGGTTTTTTCAGTATAGGAGTGACTAGAGCAGTCTTCAATAAGGAGGGAACGATACCGGTGGTGAGAGAAGAGTGAATGATAGCAGAAATGAGTGGGAGTAAAGAAGAGAGGCAGGATTTCACAAGCCCCGTGGGCATGGGGTCAAGATGACATGTGGCAGGCTTTGATTTACATATGAACTCAGAAATATCAGATAAATCAGGAAGATGAAAAGTGGGAAAACGGCTCAAAAAGGAGAAAAGGTTCTGGAGAGGGCGTAGACACAACATTTGATCTGAGTTGCTGGTGGATGTTATTGATTTTCGTAGTCCAGAACAGCATCAAGGAGTTGCAGGTTTCAGAGGAATAGAAGTGCGGTGGTAAAGCGTTGGGGGGTTGAATTAGTTTGTTGAGAACTGAAAACAGAGTCCTTGCATTACCCTCATAAGAACTGATAATACCAGAGTAGAAGCTTTGTTTGGCCTTGTTGATGGAGTCTTTATACTGAAGTACATGGTATTTATAGATTTCTGAATCAACAGTTAAACCAGATTTCTTATATTTACGCTCTAGCTGCCGAGCTCTGGCCTTCAGAGGTCGGAGGTCAGAGGTAAACCAGGGAGCAGAGCGAGCGAAGGAAACAGAGTGGGTTTTTACAGAAGCCAGAGAATCAAGGACCGTGCGTAGACAATTATTATAATATAACAACAAATCATCAGGATTAGAATAGAAGTCCGGAATCTGAACATTGTCCAAACTGGTAGTGAGAATGTCCATATCAATGTTCTTGATGTTGCGGAACGAGATGAGACGGGTTGGCTTGGTAGAAGAGCAGCAGAGAGTGAGATTAAATGAAAGGAGGAAGTGGTCAGTTATGGGGATTTCAGTAGCAGAAAGATTCGAGGGAGTATATACAGGTATATACAGGTATATACGGGTGTATACAGGTATATTTGGGTGTATACAGGTATATACAGGTATATACAGGTGTATACAGGTATATTTGGGTATATACAGGTATATACAGGTATATACGGGTGTATACAGGTATATTTGGGTGTATACAGGCATATACAGGTATATTTAGGTGTATACAGGTATATACAGGTATATACGGGTGTATACAGGTATATACAGGTATATATGGGTGTATACAAGTATATACAGGCATATACAGGTATATTTGGGTGTATACAGGCATATACGGGTATATACGGGTGTATACAGGCATATACAGGTATATACGGGTGTATACAGCTTTGACATCATTCTCCTACACAGTTACTGATGTAAGGCCTTTTACCAGTGGGTGTTGAAAGGCGTTCCAATTGGAGGGTAATGCTAAACCACATACTTAATTTATTAGTTGATAGTGAAAGAGTCCAGGTGCTGAATTGAACTGTAAGACATCATTATACAAAAGCAATACAATAAAGATAACATCAGGACCAATGAGCAGCTAGAATCCTACATCAGAAGAGAATGAGACAACAGTCTCTTTCCAAAAGTCCAGCAACTTGTCTCCTCAATTCCCAGATGATTATGATTATTAAAAGAAGAAGAAACGTTACACAAAAAAAAAATCAGGGCCATGATCCAAGGTTTGGAGACATCCTGCCATCAAATTTAAAATGAGGGAGTGTTTTTCTCATTTTAGTTAGATTTAGATTTCTTTATATGTTCTATTGTAAATGAAATATGGCTTTGTGAGACTTTCAAATTATGCATTATGTTATTATGTACATTTTACTCCCAGCATTTTTAGATCTGGGGCTGAACTTCATGGTAGTGGTGCACCAGGAAAAAACGTCAGATCGTCTAAACCATGAACATGATACAGCAAATGTGGATGTGCACTGAAATGTTTACATAGTGTCATGAGAGAAAACATTTATTGTTTAGATTTATCATTTATCATGGCAACCAAATGGAAGTCAATGATCATGATTAGCTGACATGTGAAACTGTTTTATGTCTTAATTTTAGATGGAATGCATAGCATATAAAGATAATGGCAGCAGCTGAAATGAATTATGAAGCAGACAGAGATTAACAAAGCAGATGTTTGAGGTTAATTAATTTTGATTAGACATGAAGGGAATTTTCAAAAGTTGTTCTTAAAAAAACTAACATGTTCACCCACATTTGACATCAATGGAGGTATATTCAGATTTCTTCCTCCCCACTTTGTTCTGAGCTGTACAGTAATACTCTCCAGAGTCAGAGGGCTGGATGGAGCTGAAGGAGAGCTGCTGTTCATTACTGAGAGGTTTTTGACCATTCTTCTTGTACCAGGAGTATTGAGCTGCTGGATTAGCATCACTGCTACAGATCAGAGTCACTGATCCGCCCTCCCTGAATTCATTAGAAGGGCTCACCATCACTGACACAAACTTTGGAGCATCTGTGAGAAAAAACAATTGTGCAAATTATCACTAATTTGTTAAAATGATGAGGAATTTATAAAGTGTAACAGCTTGAAGTTTTGTACAGTAGTTGACCCTATTTTTTTTCTTCTAAACAAAGGTATAAGGCTGTAGAATTACTATAGAAATGTGACAAAGTTTTATGAAAGTTGATGCAGTATATAAAAAATTAAATAAAAATAAATCTTCTGAAGAGAGATTAAATCTCACTGTCATAGAGAGAAGTTATTGATGGATCTGAGAGAAATATATGAAATTATTTCCACTCACAGTTCACATTAATAGAAACATATTCAGATGTCGTCCCCACTGTATTAGCAGCTATACAGTAATACTGTCCAGAGTCAGAGGGCTCGATGGATCTGAAGACAAGCTGTGGTTCTTTACTGAGAGGTGTCCTTCCATTTGTCTTGTACCAGACAAACGTAGCTGCTGGGTTAGCTTCACTGCTACAGGTCAGAGTGACTGAAGTGCCCTCTTTGATTTCACCAGAGGGACGCACTGAGACAGAGGGAGGCTTTGGACCATCTGCAGGAGAAAGCAAAGAAAAATGACAGCATTGTATCTTTTTTTTAAAGATCCCCTCCGCATATCACTACCTTATGGTGGTAGAGGGGTTTATGTGTCCCAGGGAACCCAGGGGCTATGTTGTCCAGGGGCTTCTGCCCCCTGGTAGGGTCTCCCATGGCAAAATGGTCCTTGGTGAAGGACTAGACAAAGAGCGATTTAGAAGTTCACCCTGCCCAGTATAGGGTTACCGGGGCCCCGTCCTGGAGCCAGGCCTGGGGAAGCTGCCCAAAGGCGAGTGTATGGTGGCCGGGCCTTAGTCCACAGGGCTGAGCCGGGCACAGCCCAAAAGAGAGACATGGGCCCATCCTCCTGCAGGCCCACCACCTGCAGGAGACACCGTAGGGGTTGGATGCATTTTGTGCCAGCAGCAGCCAGGAGCAGAGGTCCTGGCAGACCGATCCACTGGGAATGCTGGACATCGGCCCCAGTCCACGAGATCTTCAACACACAGAGCTCTACTTGCATTGAGTGAAGCGCTGCTGACTTGAACTGAGAAAATTGTTGGGTGGTGGAAGGAATACTTCGAGGACCTCCTTAATCCCACTGGCACGTCTTTTGTTGAGGAAGCAGAGTCTGGGAATGAGGGGGATGACTCGCCAATCTCTATGGGCAAGATAACTGAGGCAGTTAAACAACTCCTCGGTGGCAGAGCCCCTGCAGTAAATGAAGTCTTCCCTGAGTTCCTAAAGGCTCTGGATGCTGTCCAGGGCTGTCCAGGTTGACACGTCTCTACAATGTTGCATGGAGGTTGGATTGACAGACTGGGGTGGTGGTTCCCATCTTCAAGAAAGGGGACCGGAGGGTGTGATGGTTGAATTATTGATCAGATTAAAGACAAAAGCTTAGCCACATTATGATTTGATGAAAAAATGAAACAAATTACCACAATATCTAAAAAAGGGTCTATGGACAATGTGAATCAAAATGAATGTAATGATTTGCAAATCTCAAACACTGACACTCATGAGCTGAAGGTTTCCTAAACGCCCTGTTTTACTCACATTTCACATCAACAGAAATGTTTGTAGGTGTTGATGTTCCCAGCCTGTTCTCAGCTGTACAGTAATACTCTCCAGAGTCAGCAGGCTGGATGGACTTGAAGGAGAGCTGTGAATCTGTACTCACAGATGTTTGATTGTTCATCTTGTACCAGACATATGTAGCTGCTGGGTTAGCTTCACTGACACAGGTCAGAGTCACTGAAGTGCCCTCCTTGATTTCACCAGACGGACTCACTGACACAGAGGGAGGCTTTGGAGCATCTGGAGGAGAAAACACAGGGAGGTAACTGTAGTTTGAATTTCTGACCAAATCAACTAACTGTGTAAGTGTACAATGACACAAGTAAAGAGTTCTGGATGGTGTTAGCAGGAACGTCAACATCCTCATTATGATATTTCCATACTAATGGTAAACAAGAAATTACAAGATCAAAAATACAGATACTGAAAATAATAATGATTGCCTTATACTGGAGTTTTTATTGACCAGACATAACTGAGTGACAAGCAGGATACAGGCAAAGTCTATCACGGCACAAATACAGACTGAAACATTGACATCTGAATCACCAGTTAAACTAACAAGCAGGTTTTTGGACAGACTTCACAGATAGGCTTTGACTGACCAGGAAGTTTCAGCCCAGAACCTTCTTATAATAAGTCGACAATGATGACCACTGTATCAACCTGATTCCACCATAAGTACTGACATTTATTTCTTCTCGAGAAAGAGGAATCACAGAAAACTTTCTGGAAAACTGCAGTCCTCAAAGGATGAAAATGTTAAAAAATATATTTTACAAATTTTGATTGAAAAATGTACCTTAGAGGAAATCTTACTATCAGAGTCCTAAATGTCAATTTGTTTTCTTAGTGAGGAAGATAATATAGGTCATATTATGTTTTTAAACGTCATGGAGCCAAGATGAGGTTTTACTTATCAATAGTCACTGAATCACCAGCACAGAGTCAAAGTCGGGCTCTCCTCTAAGTGACCTGTGATAAGTTTATAACCATAAATAGAAGACAAGATGAAGATGAAAAGTACCTTTCATATTTCTGATTGACTGACCAGAACAGCACAGTAACACTGTGTGCTAAAAATGTAACACAAAAAAGAAAAATAACGTTTTATCTTAATTTGCTCTGCTCAGGGAGAGACAGCAGCTGTCTGCAATCATGAAGCAGGCAGACCCAAAGAAAGATGATATTATAGACCAACATATGTAGAAATACTGACAGACATGTTGAAACCTGCTTTTGTGAAAATTGTTTGACTTACATTTCACAACAATAGTGATGGATTTAAATGTTGACCCCAGCTTGTTCACAGCTCTGCAGTAATACTCTCCAGAGTCAGAGGACTGGATGGAGTTGAAGATGAGCTGTGGGTTTTTGCCGAGTGCTTGGCTGTTCCTCTTGTACCAGACAAACGTAGCTGCTGGGTTAGCATCACTGCTACAGGTCAGAGTCACTCCAGTGCCCTCTGTGATTTCACCAGACGGACTCACTGACACAGAGGGAGGCTTTGGATCATCTGGAGGAAACACAGGCAGACAACAGCATGTTTATTAGTTCCTTCAAAAGTTGAATTATTAAACAGATCAAACAACTCAACGAATCTAATGCTACAGGAGCTTCTCAGTGAGGAGACATGAAGGGAATTTTCAAACATTTTTCTTAAAAAATGTACCCACATTTGACATCAATGGAGGTATATTCAGATTTCTTCCTCCCCACTTTGTTCTGAACTGTACAGTAATACTCTCCAGAGTCAGAGGACTGGATGGAGCTGAAGGAGAGCTGCTGTTCACTACTGAGAGGCTTTTGTCCATTCTTCTTGTACCAGGAGTATTGAGCTGCTGGATTAGCATCACTGCTACAGGTCAGAGTCACTGATCCGCCCTCCCTGAATTCATTAGAAGGGCTCACCATCACTGACACAAACTTTGGAGCATCTGCGAGAAAAAACATCATTGTTGAAATGTTGTGAAATTGACATAATGTAACAGCCAAAAGTGTAACATTTAAACTTATTTTTTTCTGCAGAGAAGGAGTTTAAGGCTGTAGAATTGCTAAAGGAATGAAGTTTTATGACAACTCATGCAGTATATAAAAAATAAAATAAAATAAAAATATCTGAAGGGAGATTAAATCTCACTATCACAGAGAGAAGTTATTGATGGATTTCAAAGAAATATATGACATTTTTTCCACTCACAGTTCACTTTAATAGAAATATATTCAGATGTTGTCCCCACTGTATTAGCAGCTATACAGTAATACTGTCCAGAGTCAGAGGGCTCGATGGATCTGAAGACAAGCTGTGGTTCTTTACTGAGAGGTGTCCTTCCATTTGTCTTGTACCAGACAAACGTAGCTGCTGGGTTAGCATCACTGCTACAGGTCAGAGTCACTGAAGTGCCCTCTTTGATTTCACCAGACGGACGCACTGACACAGAGGGAGGCTTTGGAGCATCTGCAGGAGAAAGCAAAGGGAAATAATAGCAAGGTATTGTTTTGATCAAAGCTCAAATTATTGATTAGATCAAAGACAAAATCTAAGCCGACTCATTGAATTGATGATATGAATAAATGGCATTATTTACCACAATATCTGAAATGGGATACTATACACAATGTGAATCAAAACACTGACATCTCAAACACTGACAACCATGACGCCCTGTTTTACTCACATTTCACATCAACAGAAATGTTTGTAGGTGTTGATGTTCCCAGCCTGTTCTCAGCTGTACAGTAATACTCTCCAGAGTCAGCAGGCTGGATGGACTTGAAGGAGAGCTGTGAATCTGTATTGACAGGTGTTTGATTGTTCATCTTGTACCAGACATACGTAGCTGCTGGGTTAGCATCACTGCTACAGGTCAGAGTCACTGAAGTGCCCTCTGTGATTTCACCAGAAGGACTCACTGACACAGAGGGAGGCTTTGGAGCATCTGCAGGAGAAAACACAGGGAGGTAACTGCAGTTTGAATTTCTGATCAAATCAACTAACTGTGTAAGTGTACATAGACAGGACAGAAGAGTTCTGGATGGTGTTAGCACGAATGTTAACGTCCTCAGACTGGTAAGTTGCGAAGTCTTTGTTGTCGAGTCTGACAGCAGACTTATGGCATTTCCATAACTTATATCACAGTTTACTTCACTAATTGTAAACAAGAAATTATGAGAACAAAAAAAATGCTGTTATGAAAATTGTTTGACCTACATTTCACATCAATAGTGATGGATTTAAGTGTTGACCCCAGCTTGTTCACAGCTCTACAGTAATACTCTCCAGAGTCAGAGGACTGGATGGAGCTGAAGATGAGCTGTGGGTTTTTGCCGAGTGGTTGGCTGTTCCTCTTGTACCAGACATACGTAGCTGCTGGGTTAGCATCACTGCTACAGGTCAGAGTCACTGCAGTGCCCTCTGTGATTTCACCAGACGGACTCACTGACACAGAGGGAGGCTTTGGATCATCTGGAGGAAACACAGGGAGACAAAAGCATGTTATTAGTTCCTTCAAAGGTTGAATTATTAAACAGATCAAACAACTCAATGAACCTGATGCTACAGAAGTTCTCAGTGAGGAGATTTGGATGGTGTTATCAGAGAGATGTTCCCATCTACACTATGACTTTAAGATTTGATGAAATTGGACTATTTACATGATTCAGCAGATGTGGATGTGCACTGAAATGTTTATAAGTTGGCATGCAAGAAAAAAACTAATGAAGAAAATTGAATTTATCCTTTTTAAAGAAGTTACATCTGTAAAAGGTGTAAAAGGTTAATATACTGAAAGGTACATTTTGAAAAATCACAACGTTTTTATCATTTCACTACTTGATGGAAGTCAATGATCATGATTACCTGATATGTGAAATAGTTTTGTGCATTGATTTCAAAGGGAATATGTGGCATATAAAAATGCAATAAATGGAGCAGTTCAGTGATCGACAGTAGCTGAAATGAATTATGAAACAGACAGAGATTAACAAAGCAAATGTTTGAGGTTAATCAATTTTAATTATACACGAAGGGATTTTAGAAAGTTTTTCTTAAAACAAATAAACTTGTTCACCCACATTTGACATCAATGGAGGTATATTCAGATTTCTTCCTCCCCACTTTGTTCTGAGCTGTACAGTAATACTCTCCAGAGTCAGAGGGCTGGATGGAGCTGAAGGAGAGCTGCTGTTCATTACTGAGAGGTTTTTGACCATTCTTCTTGTACCAGGAGTATTGAGCTGCTGGATTAGCATCACTGCTACAGATCAGAGTCACTGATCCGCCCTCCCTGAATTCATTAGAAGGGTTCACCATCACTGACACAAACTTTGGAGCATCTGTGTGAAAAACAGTTGTGCAAATGATCAGTAATTTGTTAAAATGATGAGGAATTTAAACACTGTAACAGCTCGAAGTCTTGTGCAGTAGTTGAATCTATTTATTTTCTTCTTAGCAAAGATATAAAGTTGTAGAATTACTACAGAAATGAGCCGAAGTTTTATGACAACCTATGCAGTATATAAAAAACTTAAAAAAAAAAATTATCCTCTGAAGGGAGATTAAATCTCACTGTCATAGAGAGAAGTTATTGATGGATCTGAGAGAAATATATGAAATTATTTCCACTCACAGTTCACATTAATAGAAATATATTCAGATGTCGTCCCCACTGTATTAGCAGCTATACAGTAATACTGTCCAGAGTCAGAGGGCTCGATGGATCTGAAGACAAGCTGTGGTTCTTTACTGAGAGGTGTCCTTCCATTTGTCTTGTACCAGACAAACGTAGCTGCTGGGTTAGCTTCACTGCTACAGGTCAGAGTGACTGAAGTGCCCTCTTTGATTTCACCAGAGGGACGCACTGAGACAGAGGGAGGCTTTGGAGCATCTGCAGGAGAAAACAAAGGGATTCAATATCGTATAATTTCCTTCAAAGTTTGAATTATTGATCAGATAATGATGAAATTTCAGCCACATCATTTAGTTGATTAGCAAACAACATTATTTACCCCAGCATCTTAAATAGAATACTATAGACAATGTGAATCAAAATGAATATCATGATTTGAAAATCTCAAACACTGACAACCATGACGCCCTGTTTTACTCACATTTCACATCAACAGAAATGTTTGTAGGTGTTGATGTTCCCAGCCTGTTCTCAACTGTACAGTAATACTCTCCAGAGTCAGCAGGCTGGATGGACTTGAAGGAGAGCTGTGAATCTGTACTGACAGGTGTTTGATTGTTCATCTTGTACCAGACATACGTAGCTGCTGGGTTAGCATCACTGCTACAGGTCAGAGTCACTGAAGTGCCCTCTGTGATTTCACCAGAAGGACTCACTGACACAGAGGGAGGCTTTGGAGCATCTGCAGGAGAAAACACAGAGAGGTAACTGCAGTTTGAATTTCTGACCAAATCAACTATCTGTGTAAGTTTACAATGAGAGGAGTGAAGAGTTCTGGATGGTGTTAGCAGGAACACATGAAGATATTCCCATAACATATATTATCAGAGTTTGCCTTACTAATGATAAACAACAAACTATTGGAACAAATATCCAATTCTGAAAACAATAATGATTGCCTTATAATGGAGGTTTTATTGACCAGATGTAACTGGGTAAGAAGCAGGATACAGGCAATACAGACAGAGCCTATCACAGCACAAATTTACACTCAAACATCTGCATCTTTATCAACAGTTCAACTAACAAGCAGGTTTTTGAACTCTGACAAATCTATGTAGATTTCACAGAAAGGCTTTGACTGACCAGGAAGTTTCAACCCAGAACCTTCTGCAGATACAGCCTGTTCGCATTTCCTGCTCTTAGCCAGGTCAGCTAGCTGCCAGCTGCTAGGACTCTCCCCTTCTTCTCTTGGGGCATATCTATTTTCCACTATGAACACTCAATTGCAGAGTGTCATTGAAAGATGGCACTTCCTTCACAAATGTTTGACTTAGATAATCACCTATAAAAGTACCTAAATGCTTGCTCAAAGATAGTCTTGGATTATTGTGATTTTCTTAGTGCTTTTGTAGGGTCTTTAACTTTTGCAGTGTAAAATGCCTTAATGGTCAAACTGACTGCAATCACCAAAAGTATTTCCAGCAAATAGTTCTTCATTCATGCATTTCAATCTTATCAAATAAAGAGATCAAATTAAAAATTAAATTAAATAACTTAAAGAAATTTCAGTCTTCCTCAAAGATCCAAAACCAGATGTGGAGGTTATGTCTGCCACTATTACAACAACATTCTTCAGTTTTGTTTGCTGGGTTGTTACTTGTTCAGACTTTTGTTTATACTATGAACGTGTCTTATATTTTTCTGTTAGGCTACAACTGTTAGATTTATGCTTCATATTTCTTTAAACTCTGATATTTGTCCGAAGGTTTTGAGCCGCCCATCACTTATCTGAATTTTGCATAAGAGAGGACAGACTTTCACCTACTGCATGTTTCTAAAGTGCTCTCCAGGTTTTATGAAGGTGTTTCAATGTTGTTCTTTGGACATTGGTTGTTTTTTTTAATCATCTTCAGTCCGGTCCTAGTATCTGAAGGGGAATTTTTTTTCAAGCTGTGTTATGACCTTGCAACCGTGGTGGAAATTAAAGTCTATTAGTGCCAGTGCTTTGGGTCCCTCTCCCACAGCAGCATTTCACTGACCTTGTTAATCACTCAAAGTGTTTAGAACAGAGCCAGACATATTTCTGGCATATTTCTTTAGACCAGAATACACACGCACATGGATGTTGTTGAGCAATCAGAGTGTTTCTGTCTGCGCATTAATTGCTGGATATTCCAGGATCCAGCAATTTAATGCTTTCATGTTTAGAAACTTAAGTCAGCAATAACCATCGAGTGCAAGTATCACTTTCTGTCTTCTACCTTGCTTTTCTTGGTGTATGTTATGGCCCTAGCAGGGCCTCCTGACACGGTTGATCTGATATCCTCGTGTTGGTGTTGTTCCCAGATCATCATACTAAATGTTGTTCCAGGATCAACATTGCAAGTGACCAATCAGAATGTTGTGACGTCATACTTTTGCGACTTCGGGTAAAACCGGCGTAAAACAAAAAACTGTACTTAAGCTGCGAGAAACCGCCTCTGTCCGCCGATCAACGGACCCTGACCCTAAACCTAACCCTAACCGTAACCCTTTAATAAACAGTAAGCAGAATTGATATTGTCCTTGCAACATTGGAATTTCATAAATGCACGAATGGCTTGGTGCGCAAAAGAATAACGTCACAACAATGTGATTGGTCACTTGCAATGTTAAACCTGGAACAACATTTTCATGATGGTCTGGGAACAACACCAACACGAGGATATCAGATCATCCTCCTGAAACTGTCCTTGTGTGGGTGTGGTGGTGTTCTCTCTCCACCTCCTCCTCTCTTGCTCCACCCCTCTGTCTCTCTCTCACTCTTCTCTCTCCCCAGGACACAGCTCTTGTTCATTGGCCTCATTTACCACCTGGGCTCAGTCAGCAATCACTTCTCTGAGGTTATATAAGCTGGAGATGAACTGTATGTGTGGTGGTTTTTCCCCTGTGGCTCTACAGCAGTTCTCTAGGTGTTGGAAAGGGTCCTTTGTGTGTCTGTCATGCCTGTGTTGAGGAGTTAAGTTGAGTGAGTAGACGGGCTTGTGGGCCCCAGAAGTGTCTCCTTTATTTGTTAGGTGGTTTTTTCCTTTGTTGCTGCAACTGCTTCCTTTGTTTCTTTGCATTATTGATAAAACGGTGTTGCTGGCTCTTTTGGTCAAGATTATTTGTAATAAAGCTATATTATATATTGACTGTCTGGTTTCCTTTTCATTCCATTCTGGACCCACTTGTTACCGATCCCCACACTCACATCCCTAGACCTCTTAGTGGTGACGTAACAGTGTACACAGCCTCTATTTGCTGCAAGCAAATATCTATATATGAGTATTCAATTGAAATGTTCAATATTAAGATTCTTTCAGAATTAGAGTCCCTGAACAATTTAAAAGATAAGAAGTTTAAGTGTAACAAGCCTGTAAATGAATGTTCCCCCACACAATAAGAAATATACATGATTATAAACTTCAGGGAGCCTAGATTACCCTTTATTTATCAACAGTTATTGAATCACTGGCTCAAAGTCAGGCTCTGAACTAAGTGACCTGTGACGAATGTTGAAAGTCTTTGTGAAAATCGTGTGACTTACATTTCACATCAATAGTGATGGATTTAAGTTTTGACCCCAGCTTGTTCACAGCTCTACAGTAATACTCTTCAGAGTCAGAGGACTGGATGGAGCTGAAGATGAGCTGTGGGTTTTTGCTGAGTGGTTGGCTGTTCCTCTTGTACCAGACATACGTAGCACCTGGGTTAGCATCACTGCTACAGGTCAGAGTCACTGCAGTGCCCTCTGTGATTTCACCAGATGGACTCACTGACACAGAGGGAGACTTTGGGTTGTCTGGAGGAAACACAGGGAGACAAAAGCATGTTATTAGTTCCTTCAAAGGTTGAATTATTAAACAGATCAAACAACTCAATGAACCTGATGCTACTGGAGCTTCTCAGTAATGAGATTTGGATGGTGTTATCAGAGAGATGTTCTCAGTCCCATTGTAACTTTATGATCTGAATAAATGGCAAAATGTTCTAAACAAAACAAGGCTAAAAAAGCTGTTTTACTCACATTTCACATCAACAGAAATGTTTGTAGGTGTTGATGTTCCCAGCCTGTTCTCAGCTGTACAGTAATACTCTCCAGAGTCAGCAGGCTGGATGGACTTGAACGAGAGCTGTGAATCTGTACTGACAGGTGTTTGATTGTTCATCTTGTACCAGACATATGCAGCTGCTGGGTTAGCATCACTGCTACAGGTCAGAGTCACTGAAACGTTCTCCTTGATTTCACCAGAAGGACTCACTGACACAGAGGGAGGCTTTGGAGCATCTGGAAGAGAAAACTCGGGAAAATAACTGTAGTTTGAATTTCTGACCAAATCAACTAACTGTGTAAGTGTACAATAACAGGAGTGAAGGGTTCTGGATGTTGTTAGCAGGAATGTCGTCATCCTCAGACATACTGTGACTGAATGAGTGGATCAAATTACAGTTCATTTCTGGGAACATGAAGGCCAGTTCAAACTTTCCACCATCACTGTGTCAGTAAAGGAAAGATTTGCAGATTGTCTAGAAACCACAGACAGATGTGTTTTACAGAAGCTTCGATAATTTTACTTCTAATTGGAAAAAACAATATGCTTAACAGCATGTGTGGCTTTGTGACATATTTCTCTTTTAGTTTGCATTTCTAGGCATACATCAGGGTTTGGTTTGATTATGTAAACAACAAATGAGAAGAACAAAAATACACAAACTAAATAAAGACTGCTTTATACTGGAGATCTTCTGGACCAGCTACTGTAGTTAAAAACACTGAAATCAGTTTTATGTAGTAAAGTTCAGGTCTTCAAGTATGTGTTGTGAGTAAAACAGAGAGAGAGCACTGTGGTATGAAACTGTTCCAGCCACCAGGGGACACCATGTTTCATCTTTGACAGATGCAGTTTTCTGGCATTCAGTACAGATCATCTACAGATGGAGAACAGATGATCATATATGTTTTTAAACTTGATAGATCCTAGACTTTCCCTTCATTTTTAGCAGCTGTTGAATCACCAGTCACAGCCGCGCTCTGCTCTATCTGACCTGTGCTAAATGTAACAGCAGCTGACTGTAAACATGAAGCAGACAGACCAGAAGAAAAATGATATTATAGACAAGCATGTAGAAATATTTACAGACATTTTTGTGAAAATTATTTGACTTACATTTCACATCAATAGCGATGGATTTAAGTTTTGACCCCAGCTTGTTCACAGCTGTACAGTAATACTGTCCAGAGTCAGAGGACTGGATGGAGCTGAAGGAGAGCTGCCGTTCATTACTGAGAGGTTTTTGTCCATTCTTCTTGTACCAGGAGTATTGAGCTGCTGGGTTAGCATCACTGCTACAGGTCAGAGTCACTCCAGTGCCCTCCTTGATTTCACCAGAAGGACTCACTGACACAGAGGGAAGCTTTGGATCATCTGGAGGAAACACAGGCAGACAACAGCATGTTTATTAGTTCCTTCAAAGGTTGAATTATTAAACAGATCAAACAACACAGAAAGTATTTATCATTTTCACAACTAAATGGAAGTCAATGATCATGATCGGCTGACATGTGAAATCGTTTTATGTCTTAATTTTAAAGGATATATGCAAATATATCCTTTAAAATTAAGACATAAAACGATTTCACAAAGATGTTGCATATAAACATAGAAGAAATGGAGCAGTTCAGGGATCGACAGCAGCTGAAATGAATTATGAAGTGGAGAGAGAAGAACAAAGCAGATGTTTGAGGACAAATATTTTTTCAAAATACATGAATACATTTTTGGAAACTTGTTCACCCACATTTGACATCAATGGAGGTATATTCAGATTTCTTCCTCCCCACTTTGTTCTGAGCTGTACAGTAATACTCTCCAGAGTCAGAGGGCTGAATGGAGCTGAAGGAGAGCTGCTGTTCACTACTGAGAGGCTTTTGTCCATTCTTCTTGTACCAGGAGTATTGAGCTGCTGGATTAGCATCACTGCTACAGGTCAGAGTCACTGATCCGCCCTCCCTGAATTCATTAGAAGGGCTCAGCATCACTGACACAAACTTTGGAGCATCTGCGAGACAAACCACCATTGGGCAAATGATGTGGAATTAAAAAGATTTTAACAACTGGAACTCTAGTGTTTTATTATCAAATTTTACATCAGAGGTACAGTATAAGATTGCAGATTTACTAGTCATCACTCAAAGACTTATGACATCTGATGCAGTACATGAAAAAGAAAAATAACATTTTTAAAAAGAGAAAATAATAAGTAAATACAATCTTGAAAAGAAGAGAAAAATCTCACTATCATAGAGAGAAGTTTTTGGTGGATTTGAGAAAAATGTATAAAAATTGTTCCACTCACATTTCCCATCAATAGAAATATATTCAGATGTCCTCCTCCCTAATTTATTAACAGCTATACAGTAATACTGTCCAGAGTCAGAGGGCTGGATGGATCTGAAGACAAGCTGTCGTTCTTCACTAAGAGGTGTTCTTCCACTTATCTTGTACCAGACAAACGTAGCTGCTGGGTTAGCTTCACTGCTACAGGTCAGAGTCACTGATCCGCCCTCTTTGATTTCACCAGAAGGACGCACTGACACAGAGGGAGGCTTTGGAGCATCTGCAGGCGATATTATCAAAATCAATTAATGTTAATAAGAACACTGAATATAAGTATTGTGGCTGTCTGTATGTTGTCGGGATACATGAGCAGACCCCATCATGGTTATTGTGAGTCCTTACAAAATTATGTAAAATGATGTTGTTATGTAGTCGTCATTCCTGTATGTGAGGTGTAGATCACTGATGACAGATTATACAACACAGGAACATCACAGTGATGTCAATAAACAGTAAAAAGTTTTTTGTGTTCTTGGTGCTTTTTTGTTGCTGTCAAAAAAAGTTTAAACAATATAGACATTTGCATAAAATACAGTTACCTAATGCTTCAGAAGAATTATTGACATATTTTACAGTTAGTTTAGACATCACTGCACTTTAACTAGGGAAATGTTAAATATGCAACAAATAATGACATAAGGAAGGAAGTGAAACTGTTCAAGAGAAATTAATGTTATTAAAGTTGATTTACTGACATTTCACGTCGATTAAAACAGATTCAGATGTCCTCTTCCCCAGGTCATTCTCAGCTGTACAATAATACTGTCCAGAGTCAGAGGGCTGGATGGAGCTGAAGGAGAGCCACCACTCCTTACTCAGAGGTGTTTGACCATCCTCCTTGTACCAGGTGTAATTAGCTGCTGGGTTAGCATCACTGCTACAGGTCAGAGTCACTGAACTGCCCTCCACTATCTCAGCAGAGGGACTCACTGACACAGAGGGAAGCTTTGGAACATCTGGAGGAGATGAAAATCTTTAAATTGTGATTTTTTTCCCCCTAATATTGAAGGTTTTATTTCACATGTTACATGACATTTCATAGTGACACTGTGGAGTAAACTCACACACTGCAGCAGAGCGGTAACCCTCATGTCCTTTAACAGCACAGGAATAGCTGCTGTCATCACCTCCAACAGAGACTCGCAGAGATGTTTCTTCCTCTATTTTCTGTCCATTTTTGTACCAAACATATGATGGAGGATCAATTACATCACAGCTGCTGTGACACTGCAGCTCTGTGTGGGCTGATGATTTTCTTCTCTTCACCTGCAGGTCTGAATATGGAAGGAAAGAACAAATCGTCTTCATTTTAACTAAACCATCAAAGTGAATGAACACGGAAAAACAAACCTTCAGAGCAGGTTGAATGTAAGCAACATGGCTAAAAGCAAGTGACTGAAAGACAAACACAATATTTATTTTCAATGAAAATCTTACCTGTGACAGTCAAAGTGACTCCAGGTGAGCCAGTATAACTTCCACCATACTGGTTTGTCATGAATCTGAACTTGTACTCAGCTGAGTCACTCTCTCTCAGGTCTGTGATCCTCAGAGTGCAGTCCTTCTCATGAAACTGGTGCTCAACCCGCCCTGTGTAGTCTGGGTCTGTTCTCAAATCCACTGGCCCATAATACTCATTTCTAATAAACCATAATCTTTCCCGAAACATAATTCCACGGTTCCTATTGTTTGGGTAACTGTAGCTGCAGCCTATGTCCACTGTTGATCCTTTTAATGCGCAGATGTGAGTGGAAGTGGAAGTCACTGACCAACCAGTCTGACCCAGTACCGCTGTAACACAGAGCACATCAGACACTACAGACACAATCACAGTTGCATTAATAATGAAAACATTTGTTTACATTTTCTTTAACATGAAAAGCAACATAAATAATAAAAAAGCTTTGCATGTTATTATAAAAGCAGAGCGTTCCTTCCTTTTTTAAATAGCATTATTATTTATGATTAAATTGTTAAGCTGTAGTGAACAAAGGAATTACAAGAGTAAACGTAATGTTAATTGACAAATAGGATTTTTTAACCTAAGTTAGTCAAAAACATTTCATCTGATACTGTTTTCTCTCTAATGAGACTGTGAGTCTGACAGAGCAGTTCATAAAAATGCAGAACAGAAGTTCTGCATGCCTGGCTGCTGTTGTACACTGTAAACAATGCAGATGTAAAAAATATAAATACATTAACACGCCTAATGTAAATAAACTCAGAAACCTGTGGCTGCAATTAAACATGATTTTTATTTGTATTTATTTATTTATTACTAAATTTACAACTTTGCATACGTTCCATGTTTATTGAAAACGTAAAACAGCTAAATGCAGTTTACTGCTGTAAATCCATATTTAAAATTTGGTGCACAGATTTAAAGTGACACTAAAAAATTAAAGTAAAATAAATATAGATTTTGTAAGTTTACATGGATTTATTCATTTCTTTACATGTTGTGTAATTAAAGTTTTAAAAATGGTGGGGAAACTTTTTACAAATGAGTGCACAGTTTTTTAAGTGAGTACATAACATCTGCGACTTTTATTAAACTGTCAACAGGTATATGGTCATTTCACAAGTGGTGCATTTATATTACCAAAATTGGTAAGAATAATAAAAATAATAAAAAGTAATAAAAACAGAAACGTAAATTCTGTTTTGTTATTCTTAAGAGATCGTCATATTTATTGATTGTTATGTAAATGTTAGATTCCTTAAATTATTGTTTGTACTTAAAATAAAGTGTCTAACACTAACAGTATCAAAATATTTTTGGAATTACTTTTTTATATATTAAAAAGTGAAAGGGTTAAATCAGCACCAATCAGATTTTGTATTTTAGTTCTGAACAAGGGGTGTAGGTCGAACCTCAACAGTATTTCATTTTATGAGCAGAGACATAGGATGAAAATTAACTTTACACAAGGAGACCACTGCAGGTTACAGGGTTTTATGGATTATACCACAGTGGCTTTATGTCACTTTGTCACTAAATCTCTATTACCAATTGTATTGCACTATTTTATTACATTAATAAAAAAAAAGACTTTTCACATCAAATTACATTATAAAACCCCCACTAATAACAGTACTTTTCTGCAATTATAAGTCTCATTCATTTTATCAGACAGTTTGACCATGCTATTAGGTAAATCAAGTTTTTTAATTTAATATTTAATTTTTTATAAGAATCTGCAAGATTTAATGTAAATGCAAAGCTAAAATGGAATTCAATTTTAATTTCAATTTTATTTATGCAAAGCCAAATCTCAACAGCAGTTGCCTGCAAAACAACTGCATTTTAATTTACCATTGTCTGTATTTTCATGCAGAAAAAGATTTTAATGTGATGGTAAATTTCCTTTATTTTATTTTACTATTTTTGGTATCCAAGTGGCAGTTATTGGTTGTTGTTTTTTGTTGTTGTTGTTTTTACAAACTTTTTATAGTGTATTTTTTGGTCTCTAAGGGCTGATTTGCTAGTAACCAACACAGAATAGAAAGTTGTGAAAATGCAGTGATGAGGTTTGGTTCCTTTTTTTCCTTTTCCTTTTTTTTTTCTTTTTCTCGTGCAGAGTCAGTTTCCTTCGGATAAACTAGACCCAGACCCAGATGTTGTGCTGCACATTTCAAACAGTCCTATCCATGTCTATCCTTCTTAAAAGACTGAAAGTTGCTGAATATGTCAACATTTTTACCAAATCTTATTACCAAAACAATAATATAACTCAATAAAGAATGCATGGTAATGGGAAGTGATGCATTTGTAATTTTTTAAATATATCTCTTTTAGTTTCATCTGAAAAGGCCCTTCATTGTAGAGGTTAGGTATTCAGTACCTGGCACAGTGAGAAGCAGGACAATAAATCCACTCAATGCTGCTGCAGTTACACTCATGGCTGCTCCTCTCATCTCTCTGTGTGATTTCAAAGAAAATTACATCAGTAAAGAATTGAGTTAGTGCATTTCACTGTGCAATAAAATAAGAATGTAAACAAAGTCTTCTTACCATAGAGAAAGATGTTGTCTTCTAATGACAATGTTCTCATATGATCAGTTCAGTAAGCAGACGGCAGAACTGTAGCTATTAGACCAAGCACACTTCCTTCCTCTTCGAGTTATTATTAGGCATGAAGTCAGTACATCTGGGACTGCTGTGGTTTTCCAATCCATATACAGCACTCTTAATATTTCCTATAAAGTCTTGAGGGAATAATTTGTGGTGTTCTAATGCCAAACCACAGCTCACCAAGGCCACTTTTAGAGAGAAAGAGAAATTCTCAGTTTTACAACTTTTATTTATCACAAGGAAAGGCATTTTCAAAGTACTTTATATTGCATAGACTGACAGTGGGGCCCATGTAGGATCCATACCGATTTTGTCTTTATGGGCCCACAAAAGGTAATCCTGTGGGCAACATATATGGGCTCCACCACAGAGAACCCATTATACTAAAGGGATCCCCAAAAAACAACTGCTCCACTCCCTTTGTGGGAGTTGGGGAATGGTATAAATGTGGACTGTATACTATACTACTACTGTAGACTGTTCACATATTTATAATACAGAAATGCCATAGACATCTTATTATTATATTTCAAGAGAAGATGTGAAAGTTTTCAGGCCAGATTCCATTTTCTATGACAGACTGAGCTTTTTGAGGATTTTATGGTGTTTTTTAAATTGTTTTTTATATTTTTTTATTTCAGTGAGTTGATCCATAGTAGTTTAGAGATTTGGTAATAAGTAAATAATTCTTTAGTCTGGAAGAACACACGTATTCCTTGGGTGTTTCAGGAAAGCCATAATTAAAATCCACTAAATTAAATGAGTGATGAAACCTGAAAATGGGTGTAGTTGAAAATAACTACTCGACTAACAAAGCAGCATTACCTGACGAAGACCCCACTCAACCTGATACTGATGTAAGCTTTATAAAAAAAAGAAAATCTGAAGCATGATTTCAAACATGTTTCCTGAGAGGAGTCTAGCAAATTATGATCCTTTCTGCCATTCCACTTCAAGAAACTGAATTTTGCTGCTCTCTAGTGTTTCAGCATGAGAGCCAGATATCTTTTGACAGCTCAAAAATTGCCTTCATGATCAAACTGCTGCAGTGAAGCATTTTAAGGTGAGGTGAAGCAGTATTAAATTCTAACCTGACTCTGTTTTTCTAAGAATTCATTAATAAACTCAGAGTGTTTGACAAAGGCTCAAATCTGTACACAGCAGCTCAAAGGTAAACGGAGAGAGGCAGGCTTTTCTGTAGACTTTTGGATATAGCTGATGCATGTTGGCTAAAGCAACACAAACACATTATTTTTCAGTCTGAAATGAAGTAATATAACTAATACTGGGAAACTCAAGAAGTTTCTTTTATATGGATTTCAGAGTTTAATTTCCAACTGTCTGTCAGTTTTTTAAACCCAGATTTCACCTTTAACAGAGACATCAATCAATAATCAGTCAATCAATATTTAATTTGTATAGCACATTTAAAAAGGACAAAGTGCTTCACACAAGGTAGCAAAGCAGATTACAACAAAGGCAACAAAAACAGTTAAAAACAATTAAAAACAGTTATAGTTACAGTTACATAGCACAACTGCAGACCAGGGCCCTATTTCAGGAAGCCGGTTTAGAAAACTCAGAGTGAAAAACGATACTCAGGGTTGAGTAACCCCAAACTGTCCAACTCGGAATATTCGGTTTCAGAAAGGCTGATAACAATTAGTTCAATCAACGCGGAGTTGCTTTAACCCCAAGTTAAGCGCGCGCACGAGGATACATAAAGCCCTGATTAGTGGAGCACAGATTAAGCGAGTCACCATGGAGACGGAGGGAAAGAAGGCGCGGTCAATGTATTTTACAGCGCTTGAGGCCGAAATTCTGATGGCAGCATATGCCGATAACATGCAAATTCCGCGGAAAAAAAGTAACACAGCCTCAGCTGCAAAAGAAAGGGAGCATGCATGGCAAAACAAAGCCGACAGAGTCAATGCGTGAGTGTTAATTTAAACATTGATCTAGGGATTTCCACCCATTTAACACGTTATTCTATTATATTTTATTTTTTATTTTATACATTTTATTTTGTGATGTGATGTGAGCGCAGGTGCAACCCAACAGGCCCCAAACATTCCTGGCAGCAAGTAAAAATGAAATATAAAAATATAGTCCAAACAGGTAAGGTGTAATTGTATTATGAGCCATAGTGCTTGGTCTGTTTGTCCGATGTAAATTAATTGCAGTTAGAGGCTACATTAATTTCCCCTCTGTAAGCACTTATTGAAATTATCTGAGCACATTACAAGTACATATTTGCTTACTCTGTATGCTCAAATGTGACCCGTTATAGCCAACAGAAAAAAAGCGGAGGCCCGAAAAACAGGTGGGGGTCCTCCACCACCACCACTCACAGAGGCTGAGCAGTTGGCTTCCACATTTGTGATAATGTTGGCAGCATCACATATGATCTTCACAGTGCAGAGAACACAAATTAGCATCCATTACTATAATGAAATAATTTGTTAGTTTGAAATGCTACAGGGAACTATGTACCTGTACATTAATGCTGTGGAAAGACTTCCTGTTCACATAGTCTCCTTCATTTACTGAAGGAGCAATGATTGGAATGTGAGTGCCATCTATACAGCCAATCACGCCTGGGAACCCTGAGAATAAATGTAAAATTTAAGTAGTAGTTCAAGTATCACCACATCATGAATTAAGTTTTGTTCATCCTGATACCTGCAATTTTTTGGAATCCCTCTTTGATAAATCTTGTGGGTCTATGACCGGGGAACACCACAGACGAGTACAGGAGACGTTTCAGTGCAACTGTAACATTCCTGACTGCCCGACAGTTGGAAACGTGCTCAGCGTCACCAATATTATACAGAAAGCTCCCGTTTGCAAAAAACCGAAGTGCAATACAAATAATATGTACAGAACTGAGAGGATGTCCGCGATGTGTCACATGAGCAATATTAGGCCTGAGGATGTTATTCAAATGAATTATAGATTGTGCTGAAAAACGGTAACGTTCACACAGAAAATCATCAGGAAATGATAAAATGTCCGAACGCGCTCTAATCACTCTCTCCCAGCGGAGAGCTCTGCAGAGAATTTGGGCTTCAACATCTACTGGCTCTTCAAGGAAGGGGCAGGCCATGTCTGACACTTCCTACAGTCAGGTTTCTGACAAAGAGGCGGAGAAGGTCAGGGTTAGTTGAAGTAAACCTGCTAGGGGGCAGGTTAGCTTCATGGAGTGTGTCGTCATAGTAACTCACTCAGAATTAATCTAAACTCGCTTTGTGAAACCGAAAACCCAGAGTTTTCGTTAACTCAGGGTATACTTACTCAGAGTTTGCACTAAACCGGCTTCCTGAAATAGGGCCCAGGTGGAAGTCTAATTTGCTTCAAAAGGTGAGTTTTTAAGTGTGATTTAAACGATTGAATGGAATCTGACATGCGAACATCGATAGGAAGATTGTTCCAGAGTTTGGGTGCTGCAATTGCAAAAGCTTGGTCCCCTCTGGTCTTTCGTCAGGGCCTTTGTTGCACTAAGAGCAGTTGGTTAGAGGATCTGAGTGCTCTCTTGGGGTTATACACGCCAAGAAGGTCTGTTAGGTAACTGGGCACCAGGTTATTTAAAAATTTAAAAGTATACAGAAAGATTTTAAAAACGATACGGTATTTAACAGGGAGCCAGTGTAGATACAGCTACAACTGGGGTGATGTGATCATGCCTTCTGGTGCCAGTTAAGAGGTGTGTTGAGGCATTTTTGAACTAATTGCAAACGCTGGAGGAGACAGAATTGGAGGCCCATGTACAGAGAATTGCAATATATCTTAGAATCTTACAAACGAAATCATGAAATAAGGAGGGGTGAGGCAGGGACAGAGGCTTTATTCTTTGCTGCCAAAAACAAAACAAAAATAATGTTAGGAAATACATTTAGAGGGACCTATAAGTATATTTTTGATTAAGTGGCTCCTTATTGCTAATAATTGTGAAGTTAGTGATGTATTAATACATCACAGAAAGTATTTTACATACGGGTAAAAGAAAAATAATTACAATCATTTTTGGTGTTGAATAATTACAGTAAAAACCAAAATAATCCAGAGCACAGGGAAACAAAAGAAACAAGAAAATATTATTAATTATGTCATTAGCACATCTGGATCAAGAGTCATCACAATTAATAAGTTACTGTAACATGTATATGTTTGATTAATATCTGACCAATAACTCAGGAAGAGTAGCGATTCTTGTGACAATGGAAAAGTGCCCATAAAATGATAGAAATGACCTTAAACACAATGCTGCTCAATTTCATACAGGTTAGTTATGACATCTGTGTGAAGAAGTTGGAGAGAGAACTCAAAAAGGTCAGTCAAATTTAAAATTGTCTTTGATGTAACTGTATTCAGGAGTGCTGGATGCATACTTAGGACGTCATAAAGATTTTAAAACATTACCGTGGATAAAAAGTCTGCTAGAGAGATGGTTTTCCATGTCTGGGAAGTCTGTTGACTGTGCTGTACAGAGCAGCTGGATCCTCTGCATCTTCTGGAGTTGTGGTCTGGATTCTGCTGAACAGATATCACAAAAAGCTCAAAACAGACTGAATTAAGTTGTTTTATTTCTGTAAACACACGAGAAGCCACTGACCTAGGGGAAGTACTAGCACTTCTGAAAGTGACAGCGGAGTAGACGACCCTCTCGTCTTCTTTCTTGTGTTTTTTGGCCTGGGCTGGTCTGATGTTGGCTTGGACCGTATTTGCCTTGTGTTTGACAAAGCGGAGAGCAGTATAGACGACTTCGCCATCTGCAGATTGCAGCTGTAGACATAAGAAATGTACAATTCATAAAAGATTAAAATCAGTGCTTTAACTTTGACTACTAAGAAGAGTAGAGAGAACTTTTTTTTTTTGTCTTTTTTTTGTTGGAACCTACAGAGTGCTGCACTTTAATGCTAGAATGTGTTTTTGTTTCTTTTGTACCAACATAGTTCACCTCCTCTCTCCTCTCACCTGTTCAATAGTGTCCGGTCTCTCTCCAGGCTCAGGCTGTTGTTGCTTGGGGGATCTCT